ATTCATTTATTAAAATAATTTAATTATTTTTTAAAAATTATAATAAATTTTACTGACAAGTAAGAAGAAAATATTGTTCCTGAAGATAAGAATAGACAGAAAAATAATTTTCTTCATAATTGTAAAAATAAAAAAAAAAAAAAATAGTAAAATTGTCCAATTTAGCAATCAGCAACCAGTTAAAAAAAAGTTTTTAAATAAATAAGTACAAATTTACTCATGTGCTACATGCCGACGATGTGAGACCAAATGTGACTCTTATGAGAGTAAATGTAACGCGAGAATAAATAACTGAGTGCTTGTAAAGAATTTTAATTTAACTCATTGACTGTATGGTTATGTATAATGTATCCATTAAAAAGTTATTGAGATTTATGGATTATGAATTAGCACTTTGTTTTTAATTTTTTTAAGTTTAATCCTTCGCTTTAAATGTAAATAGTTTCAAATTTGATAGAATAAAACATTACAATTTAAAAAAAGACCAAAAAAAATCTAACTAGCTTCAAGTAATAAATATCGCCTATTGAAAAAACAATAAAGTATTTATATTTATTTATAAAAATAAATACAAATAATTGATCTATAACTTCATCATGTTTGTCGACAATCAATCATGACCATGATTTAAATATGTAATTACTATTTACAGACTGACCATTAATGGTTATTACTGAGGTTAGTAGTTAATAATTTATTTTGATTGTTGTCGGTCATCATAAATAATGTTCTAATGTATGTTTACGCTTTACAGTACTTGCTTAAATAATAAACAATTTGTCAAAGACTATAAGATTTAATAATCGTTCAATTTTTGTCTCCAAAAGTAATAAGTAGACTAGTAATTAATATTTTAGAGTAAATTTTACGACTATAATTTTTATTAACTTATTTATTAATTTTTATTACTAAAAATAATTAATAAAGTTTAAAATAAGACAAAAAAATATATTTTTTTTTAATAAAATTTAAGCAAAAGCTAATAAATAAAATTGAAAAATTGGTATAAAATTTAAATTAATGATAAATGAAAAAATAACTGTAATCGTCTCGCTCTGCTTAAAACCCAAAAACTCATAACTCACAGAACGGAACTAAATTAATCAATATTGAATTGAAACATAAATGTTTAAAGTTAATACCCTTTTAATTAATTCATGTCTCTTTTCTATAAATAAACTCTTGGTTTAATAATTGTTAAAACTAAAATTTAACAAACTAATGAGACTCAGACATCAATGGTGAATGCTCTTAGGACAATGGAAAGTAAGTTGGATTAAATCTGAGAACATCAGGCGTGACATAACGGTGCAAGATCTGATCCTCTATCAAGAAGAACCAAAACAACAAAAAACTGGTTCCTGCCTACTGGGTAGGGATTGGTTTAATTTCCGAAATGATTCTCAAGATCAAGTGTCCAGTCTGCAACACCCGGCTCCATCTGCCCAAGCAGTCTGGCGCCTCATACATGTCGAATGTAGACTCACTCAGACACACAGTGTTTATATATAGATAGATGTGTCATTTTGCTCTATATTTACAGAAACGACGTCATATTTAATCAAGACATCTATGATTTTTGCAATCATCTATATTATTGAGAGAATAAAAAAAAATTTTATTTCCTGGATAGTCATATGATAAAATCGGTTTCTTTAGTGAAATTTAATGTCATTGCTAAATGTATCTCTAGATACATAATTAAGAAATGACATATTATCTTGTGAAATATTGACATTTTTAAAGATATAAGCTCATCCCGATGATACGCTCATCGAGACCTTTCATTTGAGTACCCACATCAATTTTTCATATATTTTATATATATATATATATATATATATATATATATATATATGTATGTATTTATGAAAAATATATCAGAAATGCATATGGGTATTCAAATGAAAGCTCTTGATGAGTGTAACATCAGGATGAGCTTATATCTTTAAAAATGTCAATAATTAAGAAATGACCTTGTACCTTGTGAACTATTGACATTGTTGGAGATATAAGCTCATCCCGATGTTATACTCATCGAGACCTTTCATTTGAGTACCCACATCGATTTTTCATATATTTATATATATTGTATATATGAAAAATATATAAAAAATGCATGTGGGTACTCAAATGAAAGCTCTTGATGAGTGTGACATCGGGATGAGCTTATATTTTTAAGAACGTCAATATTTAAGAAAGTACAGTGCAATTTAACAAAAATCATTTAATAAAGCAAAATTTTAATTTTTTTGTTAGTTCAAAAGTCACGGCAGTCACATAGTGACTACAAAGTTGCTAATTTATAATTATTGTCTGAACCTATAAAATAATAAAATTTTTTAGAACTTGCTCGGTTTTAGTTAATACTACTTCCCTTTCCTCATTGATAAAAATATCGCGTGTTTTACACGTGCTTTTATGCAAAAAACCCGTTTTTATCAAGATCATGGACAATGTATTAAATACGGATTAGTCAGTTAACCGGTATTATGTCTCGCAGAATCCAAGACGTCAAATACTATACGGCGAATATAATTATGTTTGCATATATATATTGAATTATTAATATAACTCAATGGAACTTGATTTTACGTTAAATAATTAATTTAATAACGGGATAAAATTCTTTTCTACGTTATAAATAATGTGTTTTTTGTTAGTTTTTAATACTATAAATTTCTTTTAATTGATCTTAACAAACTGGCAATTTTTTTAATTAATAAATTAATACTAAGAAAATATTTTTAAAAATCTCATCAATTATTTTTTTTTAATTTCTCTGTCAAATTTTTAAAAATTGCACCAATTTTTAATAGATTTTTTTCTCAATAATTTATTAGTTTAAAAAAATTCTAAAAATTACCAGACTGTTAATTTTAATATTTAAAAAATTTGTAAACAATTAATTATTAAAAAAAAAAAGAATTAGTTGCTGCGTATCTTTAAAATTAACTGTATTATAATTTATAATTAAAAAAGAATTTCAATCCATTGGCAGGAATCTAAAAAAATTAAGATAAGAATAAAATTACTAACTGACAGTGAGATAATTTTAAATTAAGGTATTATTTAATTGCTTCATTAGAATCTGTATAGAAAAAAAAATAAAGTAGAATTTAAAACTATGAAAATATAAGTTAGCTGACATCTAAAAATTTTTAGAATTTTTTTTAATTTAATTTCTAAAAAATATAAAAAACTTCAAGTGTAATTCTAAAAAAAAATTTTTTTGTCCCAATTTAATAAATGAGAAAAAATAAAAATAAAAATTTTTGTCAACTAGAAGAACTGTCAAAAATTCATAGAACTAAAGGATGTTGATCGAGATAAATAGAGAGCGAGAGGTAAAAATAGGAATTGTGTCATTAGGCAGCTAATTAGTGAAAAATAAACAGATGACAGCAGGGTTGATGTACGGGCTTTTGCAGGGAATAATCGATGGTGATATGATATTTATTTACTGGAGGTTGGGATTGAATGAAATGTATGAATGCCGAGTAAAAAATGTGAGCCGGGTGTGCAGAGCGTATTGTTAATACGGTAATTATGTAATATTTGTTATTGAACATGTAAATAAAGACGACTTACCGCTGGATTAATTGTAAAAACGTCAGGAGCTAAACACACACCTACACACGTTTTATTTCACTGACTAATGCGGTAGTTTTGTTTGACGACAAGAGGGAGCGTTATCATAAAGCTTGTTGTGCGGAGGGCGCCACTTGCCGGGTGTAAGAACAGAGCGGGAGAATTTGAATTTTAGAAAAAAAACTAGTGGCGCGCTCTACTGGCTAGAAATCTGTCGCTTATTTTATTTTTAATCGCCATTTTGTCAACGCTGGATTGTCTTGTCACTTGTTAAAGTTATTTTAATTTTAAAGTAAGTAATTAATTTTTTCTTGTCATTTTTCAAAATTTATGAAACTAATATTAATTGACATCTGTAAATTTTTTTGATATTTTATAATAATTTAATTATTATTATAAAAAAAATGAAAATTAAGTTAGCCAACATTCAAAAATTTTTGATTATTTTTATTAATCAAAAATTAGAATTAAAAAACTGTTTTAAAAAATTCCGCAGATATTTTTTAAAAATTTCTACATGTGAAAATTTTTGTTTTAATTCTTAAAAATCATTTTTCAATAAAATAAATTATCAAAATATTCAAGTGTCGGCTAATTTAATTTTTGTATTTTTTTATTGTAATTGATTTGTTAAAAAAATTTTTAAAATTGACAGCTGACTGGTAACTTCAGTATTATTTTATTTTCTGTTTAAAAATTATTGAAAAAAAAAAATTCTTTCATTTAAAAAGAAAATTTTTGTTTCTTAATTTTTCTAGAAAATTTGATTTTTTATAAAATCGATAAGTTTTTTACTGAAAATTGATAGAATAAAATTACAAAATAAAATCTAAAAATTTTTTTAAAAAAACTTGAATACTTAGCAATTTATAATATATTTAAAAAGAATTAATTAATTTTCCAAAATGGCTATTTGATAAATAAAATCATATTAAAAAATTTTTTCCGAGCTAATTTCATAAATTTAATTCTATTTACACTTCCATTAATAAGTTTAAATATTCCCGCCAAAAATATTCACTTTTAAATACATGTTTTAAATTTAAACTTCCGGCTAACCTCAAAATTAAACACGCCATTCCTCGTGTCTTATCCAAAGCCAGTGAATCGATGGTTAAATAAAATAAAAAACATTTTATTTCACTTTATTTATTGCTGTTGACAGTCATCGCATTGATTTCAGTGACAAGCGCTTGTGAGTTGTCAATTAAAGTTAACAATTGTCAATATTACTGAGTTATTTTTTATCGAGTTAAAAATACTCGTCTATTGCCTCGCTAAAAAATTAAATAAAAATAAAAAATGTCATGGAACAGTGATGGATTAATTTGTTGACAAATATTATTATTATTAATAATTCAACCTTGAGCTCAAATCAAAATAATAATTTTTACAAAAAATATTTTAATATGGTTTTGCGGCATGGTAGCTTTTTCCTGTCGAAAAACTTATTGAGGATAAAATCTAATAATGAATTTAGTAAATCAATTCGTCATTTTGTAAGACAAAATCCACCGGTACCAAAACTTACTCCAGATGAGGTAAATATATTTTTTTTATTTTTAAATACTACATATTTAATTATGACTAAAGTTAGCCGACGTTCAAAAATTTTTCTATTTTTTTCAACAATTAAATTGCAATTAAAAAAATTGTACGTGTAATTTTTCAAATTTTCTACATGTGCAATTTTTTCTTTTAATTTACCATTTTATCATTTTTACTTCTGGTAGTGATTCTATAGAGGTGGTACACACCTGTACATAGAACCAGAAGGAATACATAATTACAATATATTAAATATAATAATAAATTATTTTATTGTAACAATTTTTTCAATAAAAATATTTATAAAAATTTTCAGATGTCGGCTAATTTAATTTTATTATTTATTAATTTATTTATTTTTTAGGTAACTAAAATTTTAAGGACCAATGAATTCACGAAAGAATTTGAGGATAATTTTACAGTAAAATCCTATGACACTAATCAATTAGCATCAAATAATCCTATAGAGGATATGAGATCAGAAGCTAGATGTAAAATTACAAATGGTAAATATTCTTCTTAACAAAAATTTAAAAACTTCATTTTGATAATAAATATTTCAATTGTCTAGACTTCTTATTGGGAATTTTCGACGGACATGGAGGTAACGCGTGCTCGCAGGTTGTCTCTAAGCGGTTGCTTTACTATATCGCTGCTTGCTTGCTGCCAAAATCAACTCTACAAAACGTCGTCGAGACGCAAAAGTCTCCTATGGAGGTAAAAAATAATTTACTGGAGACATTTAATGATATTCCAAAATTCGTATCAGAGTTGGAGAAACTCTACAATAAAAGTTATTTAACTTTTATTAAAGAATTGGCTAAATCAAATAAGTCTGATTTAGAAGTAGAAGTTGCGTTCGAGCACGCGTTTCTACACCTCGATCAGGATTTGTCAACAGAGGCTTTTGAAAAATTGGAGCGAAAAGAGCTGGCCAGGACACTGTCAGTCGCCATGTCTGGGTCTGTTGCTATTGTGGCAAGGATTGATGGTCGTGATCTTCATGTTGCTAATGTTGGAGACTGTCAAGCTGTTCTTGGTGTTCATTCTGGTAAGTTTTTATTTATTTATTTGTTTAATTATTTAGTGATAATCAAACCCAACAGCCAGAGCCATTTATAAAGTTGATAATATATATATACAAAGTACTTATAAATATATGAATTTAGTTTATAAGTACAAGATAGCCATATGACGAGTAGACATTGTTTAATTAGGTTGAGTCCATAGTTGACTCACTTATATTGGGCAGCTATAATAATAAGTGGATAACAATATATAAAATAACTTTCCGAATTTATATAAAAAAAATTTTCAATTTTTCTTAGCGAAGAGTTAAAAAAAATATGAATTATAAATTAAAAAGAAATGATAATTGCACAATTAATGGCGCACTTAGCCATTTTATCAAAATGATTATCCTATTTAAATTTCCAGGGGAATTTTTTAAAAATATGATTTAATTATCTGTATATTTATTTACATTACTGCTGATTCATAAATTTAAATGAAGCTATTTTAGTACAGAAATAATTAAAATTATCCGTTCCTTTGTAAATAATATTTCAGATAACAATTTATGAAACAAACATATTTTTTTATACAATCTAGAAGTTTTTCCGATCGACGCTTTTAAAGAAAGGTTAAAAAAAGTTTATCAATATTTTTAATTGTTGATTTTAATTAAATATAAAAGTACTAGCAACCTTGCAGTCACTACGTGACTGCCGAAACTTGTGAACTATAAAAAATTAAAATTTTCCTTTATTATATAAAGACTTTTATTAAACTGCATTGCACTCTCTTAAATATTAACGTTTTTAAAGATATAAGCTCATTCCGATGTTACACTCATCAAGAGCTTTTATTTGAGTACCCACATGCATTTTGATATATTTTTCATATATACATATATATAATATATATATTTTATAAATATAAGCTCATCGTGATGTTACACTCATCAAGAGCTTTCATTTGAGTACTCACATGCATTTTTGGATATATTTTTCATATCTACATATATATATAATATATAATATATATAAATATATGAAAAATTGATGTGGGTATTCAAATGAAAGGTCTCGATGAATGTAACATCGGGATGAGCTTATATCTTAAAAAATGTCAATAGTTCACAAAATACAAGGACATTTCTTAATTATGTATCTAGAGATAGAGCATTTTCGAATGCAGTCTAAATACTTATCATAATAAATTGACTATTGGTGAGAATGATCTGAAACCTTGAAAAGGCACAAATTTAAATCAAGACCTCTGCAATGACACTAAATTTTTCTTAGTCTCTTAATAATTTAGATTATTTAATAAAAAAAAAAAAAATTATAATACTAGAATTCTAATGAAAATATTGACTTAAAAAATTTAAGAAAATGAAGGATGGTCTGCACTACCAATGAGCATAGAACACAACGTGGACAATCGAGAAGAAGTCGACAGAATATTATCAGAGCATCCTGAGAGCGAAAAAAATACCGTAATTAAAATGGAGCGACTTCTAGGACAATTAGCACCTCTGCGTGCCCTTGGAGACTTTCGCTACAAGTGGAGTCGAGATATTATGAATAAAATAATAGTCCCGTACTTCGGTGAGACTGCAGTTCCTCCAAACTACCACACACCGCCATATTTAACAGCTAGGCCTCAAACCACTTACCACAAGTTAACGCCAAAAGATAAATTTTTGATCCTGGCAAGCGACGGACTTTGGGACTTGATGACTCCTCTCGAAGCTGTGCAGCTTGTTGGCGAGCACATGACCAGTAAAGTCGCCATGAATCCTCTTTCGATGCCTTTTGATGACATGAAACTGTCAGAGATAAACAATTTGCTCATTCAGCGTAAGGAAAGTCTGAAAAAAAAGCCATTAGATGATAATGCCGCGACTCATTTATTGAGGAACGCTCTAGGTGGTACTGAGTACGGCATTGATAATTTAAGATTGTCAAAATTTTTAACGCTGCCTAATGAAGTCGTGCGTATTTTTAGAGATGATATTACAATTACTGTTGTTTACTTCAACTCGGAAATTTTGCAAAATTATACGTAATATTTTTTATTATATTAAAACCCTGGTTAAGAATACTGATTGAAAAAAATTGCATATATTGCGTGCTAAAAGGTAAAAGGGTGCATAATTTTTTTTTTTTTATCATCAATCGACTGGTTGACATATTTTTCACCTAAAAATCAAGCATTGATTTCCTGAAGCTAAAATTTCGCTAAAATTAAATGCACTCACAACTAACTTTTTTTGAAATTAAAAAACGACAATTCGAGAGCTTAAGATAAAATATTGAATTTTCTTTGAGTTATTGATATAAATACACCGCGGTGGGTACCCGGTTATCAACATAAGGGTTAATGCAAAAAGGGCGCCTAGCTAAAGGTTAGTAGGGATAAAAGAGTGCATAAAAAAATTTTTTTTTATGATTCTTAAAATCACTGTAAACACAAAGATCTGTAAAAAAAAAAATTCGAGCATCCTAAAGCTAAAAGGGCCTAAAAATTTTCTTACTAAACAATTCATTAAAATTCTTATTTTTAGCTTAAAAATTTAAAAAATAGTAGAGTCAAAGAGATGTATTCTAACTATACATACATTCTTATAAAATTACTATTAAAAAATTGTTAAACATGCGTGATTGTATTAATTTATTTTTATTTGAAAATTATTTTAATCCCATTAGTCTTCGATTAATTTATTTATCCATTGATTGTATAAAAATAGTTTTAAATTATTATTTTTAATATTGTTTAAATACTTGAGAAATTTTTTTTTATTTACTAAACTTATTTATTTCATGTCTTGTAAAGCTACTTATCAAAATTTTTTTTATGCGCCCTTGTAGCTTTAGGATGCTCGAATTTTTTTTTGACAGATCTTTGTGTTATTAGTGATTTTAAAAATAACAAAAAAAATTTTTTTATGCGCCCTTTCTGCATTAAGCCCGCGATATATAAAACAAAAGAATTAAAATTATTGAAAAAAAATCAAATTTGATATTTTTTAATTATTTTCAATCAATATTTTTAAACAGGAAAATAAAGCTAGTAACAATCTGTTGATTTGATGTTTAATGTTTTTTTGTTAATAATGTAATTTTTAGTAACTAATATTTGTTTTTTTTTTTTTTAATGTAATTAGTGTACAATGTGTTACATATTAATATTTATTTACAATTAGTTTTATTTATATTATCTTATACGCTTTATACTTTTTGTGACTAAAATTTTATATGATAATAAAATTTGCTTCAAAATTTATTTAATTTGTTGTTATTATTAAAATTTCAATTACCTATTACTCCTGATATCAATCTCAATATTTTTAAAAAATATATTAAATAATTCTTGACTACTTTTTACTTAAACTTTTTGTGTTTAACATTTTTATTTACTCATAAAATAATTTACATAAGCTAATATTTATTTTTTGAATGTAAAGTGTACAATGTGTTAGAGATTATTTATAAGCAGTTATTTAATTAATATTAACTTAAACAATTAACTCTAGTTGTTTTCGGTAGACATTGTGTATAATAGAATAAAATTTTCATTACAATCATTTCATTGTTTTTTTTAATCCGTTAGTATAATTATAACTAAGTGGTAAAATGTCAATTAACCATTAAATCTATTTAATCATTATTATGTTATGGTTATTATAATTAATATTACATTTACTTACATTTCTGGATAAGTGTATCGTACAATCAATAGAAATTAATATTTTAAATTATCATTATAATAATTATACTTAAAATAAAAAAATTTATAAAGAAATGAAAGTAATAAAGACACTAAATCTCTGAATTGTGATGTCCAGCTGTTAAATACAGTAGAAAAAATAAAATTATCATATTTTATGGATTATGGACAAAGTATTTAATTTATTCATTTAAAACGCGGCTTTTAGTGTAAGCATTAAGGCAAGGATGTAATACCTCGTAGTAGTCTAATAAATATTCATTTTATCCTTCCTGTCCAAAATCTTCTTTGAATTTCTCTAACTTCGCCATATCTTCTTCGTTGACTGTCGGACGGGTTGTTGATAGAGACTTTAGCATATATTTCTGAAAAAAAAAAAAAAATAATAATAATAATAGCTAGAAACCTTGCAGTCACTATGTGACTGCTATGACTTGTGGACTATAAATAAATAAAATTTTGCTTTATTAAATAATAAATTTTGTTTAATTGCACTTACACTGTATTTTCTTAACTACTGACATTTTTAAAGATATAAGCTCACCCTGATGTTGCACTCATCAAGAGCTTTCATTTGAGTATCCACATGCATTTTCATATATTTTTCATATATAAATATATAAATGTATGAAAAATTGATGTGGGTACTCAAATGAAAGGTCTTGATGAATAAAACATCGGGATGAGCTTATATCTTTAAAAATGTTAATCTTTCACAAGATACAAGGTCATTTATTAATTATTGACATTCTTAAAGATATAAGCTCATCTCGATGTTACACTCATCAAGACCTTTCATTTGAGTACCCACATGCATTTTTCATATATTTGATATATTTATATAATATATAAAATATATGAAAAATTGATGTGGGTACTCAAATGAAAGGTCTTGATGAGAGTAACATCGGGATGAGTTTATATCTTAAAAAATGTCAATAGTTCACAAGAAACAATCAATTGTATGATTTTAATAACAAATACAAAAGAAAAATATCAGTACTCACCATTGTTACCAAAGGCTCACAAAGCTTATCACTCTCTACTTCAAGCCAGTTCATCTCGATAGCATCAGGATCTCCAGGCGAGCAGGGAGTGAGCAAGTCATCGACAATAACATTGCGATCTTTGGGCGAGGGACCACTTACGCGTTTGAAGTGCGTTGCAGTTTGAACGAGTCTCACCGGCTGCATCAAAGCATCTCTTACGATTATTCCGATGTCAGCACCGGAGTAACCTTCTGTGAGGGCTGCTAGCTGCTTGAAATCGTCCTCTGTAAGAGTGTGTGGAGTGTCTCCCAAGTGAAGTTTAAACATAGTTGCGCGAGCGTGCTCTTCGGGTAAGCTTATGTATATTCGCTTCTCAAATCGTCTTCTGATAGCGGCATCTAGGACCCACGGGATATTTGTAGCTCCCAAAACTAGTATTCCATCATTGTCATTTCCAACACCTTATTTAACATAAAGAAAATGATTTAAGTAAAAAAAATTTCACAATTTATGTAAAAAGAATACTAAGATATTAAATTAAAATTTAAATAATTTGTACCTTGCATTTGAACCAAAAATTCAGTTTTAATTCGTCGTGCTGACTCAGATTCATTATCTGAACGTGATGAACAAAGTGAATCAACTTCATCAATAAATATAATACTTGGTTTACGCTGTCTTGCTAGTTCGAATAAATTTTTAACAAGCTTCTCAGATTCACCGAGCCACTTGCTTACCAAATCAGATGATGAAACCGAGAGGAAATTTGAATTGTTTGCTTCAGTTGCTACTGCTTTAGCTAAATATGATTTACCAGTACCTGGAGGCTGTAATAATTTACAATAAATTAATTGATAATTAAATTATAAACTATAAATAAATAAAATTTTGCATTAATAAATAATAAATATTGTTAAATTGCACTGTAATTTTTCAAATATTGAAGTTTTTAAAGATATAAGCTCATCCCGATGTTACACTCATCGAGACCTTTCATTTGAGTACCCACATGCAATTTCATATAAACATATATATAATATAAATATATGTATATATATATATATATATATATATATATGAAAAATTGATGTGGGTACTCAAATGAAAGGCCTCGATGAATGTAATGTCAGGATGAGCTTATATCTTTAAAAATGTTAATAGTTGACAAGATAGCAATGTCAGTTCTTAATTATTGACATTTTTAAAGATATAAGCTCATCCCGATGTTACACTCATCAAGACCTTTCATTTAAGTACCCACATGGATTTTTTATATATTTTTCGTATATACATATATATATAAATATAAATATATAAAATATATGAAAAATTGATGTGGGTACTCTAATGAAAGGTCTCGATGAATATAACATCGGGATGAGCTTATATCTTCAAAAATGTCAATAATTCACAAGATACAAGGTCATTCCTTATATTCTACTACAAAAAGCGATTTTATCATATGAAAATCAATTATAAAAATAAAAATAATTTCCAAGTTTGCACTTGTAATTTTTTTGTTGAAAATTTCTTCATAGTAATTTAATTATAAAAATCAAACCAATTAATAGATTTCTGTTAACCTCAGAATCACAAATAATTTTATAATATATTTATAATCATAATTATAATAAATAAACTTACACCAAAGAGAAGAATACCCTTCCAAGGTATCCGTTTGCCAGTAAAAAGATGTGGAAACTTAATAGGCAAAATAACAGCTTCCTTAAGCGCTTCTTTTGCGAGATCTAATCCAGCGACGTCACTCCACTTAACATTGGGTCGCTCGATAACAATAGCTCCCTCAAGACGTGACTGTAATTTCTTCTTTTCAGGATCACTGTCAGTGTCACTATCTCCACTGTCACTTTTTTTCTCCTCCTTAGTTCCTTCATCACCAGCAGCAACTGGTTTCTTCTTTCCTTTCTTCAAGTATGCTTTTAGCTTCTCGGCTCTGTCGAGATACTGCTGACATTTCTGGCGAATACTCTCTTTCGCTCTTTCACCTTGGGCTTCATCTTCATAAAAAATAACAATAATAATAATAATAATACAAATAATAAAAATTAAAGAAGAAATATTTATAAAATACAAACATTTAATCGAATGAAGAAAATATTCAACAGCATGCTCGTAATACTTGAGAGCTTCTTCGTAATTTTTATTCCTGTCTTCCTCAGTGGCTTTTGTCACCAAATCAATCGCTTTCTAAATAGAAAAAAATTAACATTTATAAAAATAAATATGAACTCATAAAATAGCTAACAATTATAAAATATCAATTAGAAAAAAGTAAATATTAAAACCTGTAATATTGTTCCTGTGGCCATGGTTTTAAATAATTATTATTATATTACTCGAGTGTATACTCCACGATGTACAAGATCTGCGTTAATGTTTGAGCTCCTGAAAATTAAATTACATTAAAATTGGCAATTATTAACCTAAATTTTATGACTATTTTGTCAATAGACAAGACGTAATTTATTACAATATAACTACACTAAGTTTGACATTTTTATATAAGTATAAGTATCAATGATAAATACTGTCAAAATATAAAAATTAAGTAACCTTCGAAAATAAACTGATCAACTTGACGTCATGCAGAATAATCACTCATACTCATACACGCAAAATTAATACAACAAGTTTATTTTTTATAGTTTCGCCTCAAGCTTTTACTTTTTATTAAGTTCCATTTGCATGAAAATTTTCGAAGACTCTGAAGTTAACTGACATTAGAAATTTTTGATGATACTGAAATTTAAAGACATCTAATAATTTTTTAACAAATTAATTTATCTTTTTTATCAATAAATTATGACGAAAAATTAAAAACATTATTTTTATAGTAATTGATTTGATATAAAAATTAAAAAAATTGACAGGTATCAGCTAATGAAAATTAAATTAGCCGACACTTAAAAATTTTTTATTTATTTTATTAATTTAAAATTAGAACTAAAAAACTATTTTTAAAAAATTCCACGTATAATTTTTAAAATTTTCTGCATGTGAAAATTTTTGTTTTAATTTTTTATAAATTATGTTTCAATAAAATAAATAAATAAATTATGACATTAAAGTTAGCAGTCACTTAACAATTTTTTAATTTTATTTATCAAAAAAATTCGTCCCAAAAAATTATTTTTAAAAAATTGCATTTTTTATTTATTAAAATTTCTAAAAGTTAATTTTTTTTTCAAATTTTTTTTTGCCATAATTAATTTGCTATAAAATTTTTTAAATTATTAAATATATGCTAAATTAATTTTCATAAATAAATTATAAAAATTTTTAAATGTCGGCTAATTTAATTTATTAATTTTCATTGTCAGGTAACTTCAGTACCACAAATTGTCGCGAATAAACGCGAACCTTACCGAAAAGGTCATTTGACTGAGAAAACAGACCTAGCGCCATCTACAGAAAATTTTTGTTTGTTCTTTGTTGTCAGTTCGTGCAGGCGGTAATGTGAATTTCAAACGATAATAAAAAAAATTATTGGACCTACCGGAGACCTATCAATTAACGTCATTGTCATTTCGCAATTCTTCAGGTAAAGTGCTAAATTTTTTCCCAAGTGTAAAAATAATAATTTAAAACTGTGAAAATTAATAAAATTAATTTTTTATCCGTGGATCTTATTCTTATGCACGGAGAGCCTTAAAACACTGAAACATTTTTATCAACGGAGCAAAAATTTTCGAAAATGCATTACGCATGTCCATGGTATGATTTTACTATTATGATTATCCATGGAAAATGGATTAATAATGGCGACAATACGGCAAAAACCGTGTCGTAAAAAGTGTTTGTTCGTCATTTAAATTATTCCTTGTGTTTTGATTTATTTTTATTTTATTGTTACTAACTACCAAAAACTCTACTGTTACTATAACTATAATCACCATTATCATCATTCAACATAATCTTCGTTCACCATTTTATTATTGTAATAAAATGGACTGTGTTTTATGACAAATATTAACGCCGCAGTGACGAGTGAGCGAATAACAAAGAATCAAACAAATTGTTATCATTTGTTGAATACCCACATATTCATTTTTATTCATATTTACACATTTTACATACTTGAGTTATTTATTTGTTAATAACTAATTATCACCAGTATACGCCTAAACAATTATTGTTTAAGGTAATGTCTATTAATCAATATATACATATAAATATATTTTCTTCTTATATATAACTTATATATACACTTGCATGTTGTAAAAAAAAATTTTTTTGTGTCAATTTATAAAAATAGAAATTTTTTTTATTATTTATTATTATTATATGATAATTTTTAAATGGACATTTTACTTGATATAAATTAATTATTTTTTTATTTTATAACTCACTCATACTTTATGACTCTCAACTGTCATTATCTCTATTACTGTTTGGATAAAAAAATATTCTCGACGCTATAAAAAAAAATTTATTGCTTCTGTAGTGCATATTTGCATTCATTTGTTCATTTAATAATAATAATATTTTTTATCAAAAAAGTTTCTTAAAAAATTTATACCTCTAACAACTTCAACAAAATTTATGTAACTCAAATTTAAAATTATTTTTAATCTGCAATTGTGCTGTAAAATTCGTGTTATATTTTTTTTTATTGTCAGTAATTTTATAATAATTAAAAGTGATTAATTTTCGAAAAATTTAAGTTAAATTTTAAAAAATTGACACATTTTCTATCAAATGTCAAGGTTTTGAGGTCGCTTGAGGCTATTTTGTCTATTTGTAAGATAACAATAACATCGTTAGTATATGTGAATGAATATGGATGTGTTAGGGTCGATAACTATTGAACCGATTAGCCGATAAAATTTCGCTTAAACTGAGTTTTGATTTTTTTTTTATTTTCGGTCCACCTGTCAAAGAAATTTCAATTTTTTTTTTAATAAAAATTCTTTAAAAATATTTTATATATTACTCAATAATTTATTTTTTAATCAATTTAAAAATTAAAAAACAAAATTAATGAAGAAATCAAAACAGTCAAAAAAAAATTTTATTTTAATTAAAAAAATTATCTTCACAAATATTTCCCAAGTCAAGTAATTTTTCTTCTTTACTAAAGAATTTTTGTTCGTGTAATTTATTATTGCAAATTATTATTATTATTATTAATACTGTAAATTATTACTATTATTTATAATCGAGAAAAAAATTGAGTATAATATTAAAAGTTTACACTTAAAAAAAAAAAAAAAAAAAAAAAAAAAAAAAAAAAAAATTGAAGAAATTCAATACATCTTAATTAAAAAAAATTTTTTTGAATTAAAAAAATTTTATTTCACTCAAGACAATTATCTTCAAAAATATTTTCCAAGTCAATTAATTTTTCTTCTTTACTAAAGAATTTTTTTCCTTGTAATTTATTATTGAAAATTATTATTATTATTACTATTATTTATAATTGAAAAAGAAAATTGAGTAAAATATTAAAAATTTACTCTGAAAAAAGAAAAAAATCAATAAATTGATGAAGAAATGAAAACAATCTTGATTAAAAAAAATTTTTTTTGAATTAAAAAAATTTTATTTTATTTAAGACAATAATCTTCAAAAATATTTTCCAAGTCAATTAATTTTTCTTCTTTACTAAACAATTTTTTCCATGTAATTTATAATTGAAAATTATTATTATTACTATTATTTATTATAGAAAAAAAAATTGAGGATTTTTAATAGCTTCTCTATTATTTCTTCCCAAGTTGATTATTAAACATTGTATCTAAATTGTTTGCGTCAATGCATCAAATATCCCAGACTTACATATAATGAAAGTGAATACTTAATTGTCATCATAGCTTATCACTTGAGATGTATATTTTTCCGCTGAAAAACGTCGCCGTGGTACGATATAATAGCTCAAATGCCGGGAAATAGGTCAGTGATCCACTCACTGAAGTTCTTACACATTACAATCCTAATATTTTAACGCATATAAATATTACTGACGTCATTTAGTAAGTTAAAACATCTATACATATATACACACAATTGCAGTTTAATATTATCTAATTGAGAACAATTTACAGTAATATGATACTGAAATTAACAGACATTTTATTTTTTTTTTTTTTAACAAACTTGTACATTATAAATATAAATTATTAAAAAATCCAGACTTTGCATTAAAAATCTACCGATTTAATTTTACTAAAAATTATATTAACAATTAAAAAATTTTTTTATTTTAGATTTTGATCATGAAATCCAAAATGGAAGAAGAAAAATCTCCAGCGTCCTCACCAGGAGTTTGTACAGACTCTAATTCATATTGGTGAGTTTTTAAAAAATTTATTTAGTATAAAAAAAATTCTCTAATTATATAATAATAAATCCATCCTATATTTATTAATTTATAAATATACACAGAAAAAAAAGTCATCTTGACTCGAGAAAATCATTTTCTTCAAAATTTACTTCTTGTTTCAAGTTATTGTTTATTCTTGAACTAATAATGTCATATACTTATCCCAAGTAAATCTTTCTTTTGGTTTGGAAAGTAGCGCCAACGTTGGCGACGTGATTTTTTGGAACTAAACCGAGATTTTTTTAATTAAGAATTAAATTAAAAAAAATAACCTTATGCATGATTTTTATTTTTTGTGTTCATTTAATTAGACATTTTTGATTAATTTTTAACTTGCTGATTTCCCATTATATTACTGATTTACAGTTAAGTGTGTAGTGACGAAAATATTTGTATATACAAGTATTTGCTCGACTCATACAAAGTACACAGTTAGAAATTTGTTGCGTTAATAACTCAATAACTATAAGTGATATCGACAATCAGAAAAAAGATCCTTAAAGAGGAGGAAATTTCTAAAAAAAAATCTCGACTCCCGGAACTCTAGCTCCATAAACAATAATTTTTATTTAATGTTGAAAATGGGTTTCCGCACGGCTGCTGTCCTACTCGGGCCTCGATGCGCCCGTGTGTACTTCAAGCAAGTTCAAAAACCAAGAGAATGATTTACTTGGATTAAGAGGTTTTTTTCTTCACTTAAGTTGGTACGCATGTTGGAACTAGGGAATATTTGCTTAAACCAAGATTGACCAAAACAAGAAAAAAATTTACTTAACTCAAGAATATATATATATTTTATCTTCAGTTGAATATACTTGGATCAAGTAAATATTACTTGACTCAAGATGACTTTTTTTTCTGTGTACAAATTGCAAGATTAAATATTTATAAAACTTCAATGCTCCAAAAATTAAATAGAATTTTTAAAAAAATTTATTTAGTGTAAAAAAATATATGAAAATAAATTTAGCAGATATTTAATAATTT